TGAAAAGGCTAGGGAGGCAGGGCTATTGCAGCACAAGGAGCTTTCCCTGCACCTTCCTCATCAGGGTGGGGGTTTATACACCCTGTCACATTCTTCCTTTTTTTCTTTTTTTGCTTTGGTTAGTTGCTTATCTATTCATTTTGTAAGTGCCTGAAAGTTTCATTAAACCGTATTACTTGGCCTTGCTGTGAGCTGGGCTGTTTCTCTGGAAATGCTATAGAAATTCTGGTAATGAACTGCCAAAATCAGCAAGCAATATGTAATGATTTAAGGCTCCATTCAAAATAAAACCTGCTTGGATTTCTACACCACAGGGGCAAGACCCAAGAGGGAGAGGGATTTATTTTAACATTGGGTTGGTCCTTTGGTGCTGTTGAGCTGGAAAGAATTAAAAGGGATTTTACAAAGGATAAAGGCTCTAGAAACATTAAATGCAAAAATAGTTTTGTTGTTTTTTTAAAATGTTATTTTTAATAGTAATTTAACTGTTTTCAGCTGTAGATTGGAAGGCACGTCTCAAAGGTGGATAAGCTTCATGCGTGGCATATAAGCAATTAGATAGCTAGATAGATTATTATTTCCATTCTACTGATGTGGAAGCTGAGGCTAGGTCTACACTAAAAAGTTAAGTGGGCGCAGCTACATCACTCAGGGGTGTGAAAAATGCACACTCCTGAGTTACATAGTTAAGCTGACCTAACCCTGGGTGTAGTCAGCACTAAGTTGACAGAAGAATTCTTCCATCGACCTAGCTTCTGCCTCTCAGGGAGCTGGATTACCTACAGTGACGGAGGAACCCCTCCCATCGCTGTCATGAGTGTCTATGTTGAAACATGACAGTGGTGCAGTTACAGCCGTTTAAATGTAGACATAGCCTGAGGCATTGAGAAGTACAAGATCCACATTTTCAAAAGTGTCCTCTAACTTAGGGTGTCTCAGGCTTGGGGTGTCTGACCTGACAAGCACAGGAGCTGATTTTTTTTTAGACGTGCTGAGCACCCTTACCTCCATCTGAAGTCACTGGGAACTACATGCACTCAGCACTTCTGAAAGCCCAAGTCGTCTCAAGTTTGTACACACAAATGTGATGGCGTCCAAAACCTGTGGCTCAGTGGTGGGCAACCTGCGGCCCATCAGGGTAATCTGGTTGCAGGCTGCGAGACATTTTGCTGACGTTGACCGTCCGCAGGCACAGCCCCCTGCCGTTCCCAGTGGCCGTGGTTGCCCATCACTGCTGTGGATGCTTTCAAAAGTGTCAGCTTATAGGACTAGTTCAAGCCCACACATCTGTGAATGCTGGGAACAGAACATGGGTTTCTTAACTCTTTGCCTTCATTTCTATTCAAACAGCCAGTCGGGGACTTAACAATGCTATGGTTTTTTTTACTGTAAGCACTATTTTTTAACTAAGGCCTTGTCTACACTAGTGATGTAAGTCGATCTGAGTTACGCTACTTAAGCTACGTACGTTACAGTGTCTGTGTCGCGCTATGTCTATGGGAGACGCTCTCCCACTGACATAGCTTCCGCCTCTCATTGAGATGGATTAATTAAGTCAATGGGAGAGTGCTCTCTCATTGACTTATAGCGTCTTCACCAGACCCACTAAATTGATCGCAGCAGTGCCGATTTATCCCAAAAGGCCTAAGGTAGGATTCCCTTATTGCATGATGTCCTACATGTGGGCAGAAGTGAACCTGTCCTGGTATTAATGACTAGCTGATACTCCAAACACTGTTGACCTGTCCTGAACATGCTCTGCCACAGTCCAGTTATAGCTTTCAATGCGTTGGTTAGCACCTGATGCGAAGGTTTAACCATTATCATGCTATACAAGATATGCCTATTGTATCACTAGGATGAATGAGTCAATCTTGTTAACCACACTAGCATGTCCCTACTCTTTTCCCAACATTTTCTTGGGTGTTAACTTGGCCTCTGAATTACATTTTGTAATGCAAAAGTTTCATTTACAATAAAACAGGTTCAACAAGTTGAACAACTTACAGGTGTTACCCAAATGCACCTGCCTTGCTGTTTGCAAAGAGAGCTGAGCAGAACAAAACACCCACTCCAAAGCTGCACCATTGGGAATAACATCCCACCCTAAAGGAGTGAGAGGAAAAGATCACCACCTCCCTTCGCTAGCCCCATTATTATCGAATCTATCTATCCCATACCCATCACTGTGACATCAGAGTGCCTTTGCTTCATAGGAGGTAACTACCTAAATCTCTCTTCTCAACAAAACAACAGACCTGGCTGAGGCTCTCTCAGTGGGGATGGGGGTTCACTCGCTATATCCTTAGCCTTTGCGGTTCCCTACATTCATTTGTAACAAAGATTCCCTATGCACAAGTATGGGCCAAGGGGATCTGTGGATGCTCAGTGCCATACAGGACCAGGCCTTGTATATTTCTATCCACTAAGCAAGAGATCCTATAAACGCCCCATTTTCCTGACAAATCATTTGACACAAAGCTGCAGCCCTTCAGTCTACTGCAGCTGTTATCCACCTTAACGTGCCTGTTTCTCAGAGTAAAAGAGGGGCACTTTAGAAGGGGTAGTAGCTGTCACCTGGCCCTGTTCTCAGGGGTATTTAGCCATCATTTAGAGCATGGCCCCTGGCCAATGTATTTTACTTTATTTTACCTTTGGCAAATTTCCTGTTTCTTTCCCCTGGGAAGGGACCAAGGGTAATAAATCTCTACCAGTGGAACCCAAGTCAATGCTAACCTTTGGACATGTGCAGCTATCTAAAGCCCTCAGCTGGGATTTGATCAATGAAAGGTTCTGTTTGAGCATTACAGCAGCACATGTTAATATTAAGGTTCCCAAAGCAAGTCAGCAGTTGAATAACACTACATTTATTGTAGCTAAAATAATAATTGCAATAGTTGCCCTCATCAATATTTGAAACAGAATACATTCATAACGGGCCTGTAAACCTTCCTTGAGGTCTCCTGATCTCATTTTCATTGAATGTTTAAAGTTGGATAAAAGTGACTGAGCTTCTGCATATAAAAGAGAAAAACTCTTGAATACTTTTGAAGAGAGAGATAAATGTATTTTCTGTTGTTCTTTCAATCTAAACATTCCAAGAGCATTCATGACAGTTGGATCTAGGTAGTAAATTGTTATTCAGTTACTTACACACACTCTCTCTCTCTCTCTCATACACGCAAAGCAAAGCTAAAACACACACACACACACACCCCACACACACTTAAGAGCCACTTGTAAATGAGCAGCACTGATCCTGTTTACTTTGTTGTTACAAAACTAGGGCAACCTCATTCTCAATTAACTACTTGGTGCGCAGAGCCTTGAAAAGATGAGCTAGTGCAAGGAATTAAACACCAAGTTTTAACTTCCACTTCATCATCCTTTCATTTCTTGATCAAAGACTCATCTGCTCCCCACTAATTTTCTAAGAAATTAAACATGAAAAGAGAATGCAATTCCACAACTGAGTGAAGAACACTGTGGGCAGTTAATGATTAATTAGCATTATAATACATGACAGGCTGGTTTCACAGAAGAAGCTCATTTTGCTACTGAATTTGTTCTGTAGAGGAAATCTTTAGGCTGGTGCCAGAACTATATACAAACCAATGCCAAAAAGTTTCCTCCTGGTTTTTGGAAGACACAGTGGGGTTAGAAATAACTGCTTGAGTTGCTGCCTGGACCAGGTGATTTTAAGCTAAGACAGTTGTGTTATAGCCTGATCCTAAAACTGTTGACATCAATGGGATTGAGTTTAATGGGCTTTGGATCAGGCCCCAAAAGTTCACCTGTTTGGTGACAGGATAACAGTGGATGTTGCTTCAAGGACAGCAAACTGGGTTTTCCCACATGTGCACTTCAGGAGTACTTGTGTCATCCACATAACTGCTGTCTGGCTTGGTAATGGTTATGGGAGCTGAAGCAGAAGGCTAGGTAACCTCAGCCATATTTCTACTACTCAGCAAGACCCACTGATTGATCCTGAAACAGAAATGTGACAAAGGAGTTGGACAGCTGGGGCAGAAAAGTTTAACTTCCTGCTATTCCTTGGGCAGCCATTTCCCACAAATGTCTATCCCTCCAATGCAATGTAAATCCGGTTTGATTGCAGAAAAGACAAACAACAGGGGAACAGATGTCTTTTCATATGTAGCTATCTGTATAGCTAGTGCTAGCATTCATACACATCAAGCCAGCATCTTGTAACAGTGACTGGCAGGTAGAAGTAAGATCATAAATAACTAGAGAAATACACAGGCAATTTTCTACCACACTACTATATTCATACTTTTAAAAACACATACCCTAACTCAGAAGCCATTACAGTAAAAGATTATGAATAAATAAGAGATTACTTAAATTTCTTAATCTGATTATTTGTCCACGTTCCATCACTGAGTTCAGCTTTGAAACCACAGACAATTTAAAGTGGAAGATCCATCCAAGTAATTTTCCAACTATAAATTTAGTAAGAAGTAAATTACATATAGTGTGTAAAAACCTGTCATTGCACTGGGATTTATAGCACCGCTGTTATAGCTGAATCAGACCTCTAGTGTTTGATTTATTAACACTAAATATAATGACAAACGCTGGGCAATGAAAGCCTGTGTATTTCACACATCTCTGAAAGTTGGTGATATCTGATTAAAAATATCTACTATTGCTGAAATGCATCATATGCATGATATTTCCAAGGCTACTGAAATGTCACCCTGTTCAACTGAGCATGAAATGAAAGTAAGTACAAATCTTGCAAAACATTACTCAAGTAAGTAGTCCCCATTTATGCAAGTAGTAAGGCCTGCTCGGGTGAGTAAGGAGTTATAGGCTCTAATCTTTACATTGGAAGCGCTCTGGGGCAGGGATATGCCTTTTTATTGATTCTGTAAAGCGCCATGAACACCTATGATACTGTATAATCTATAGATAATTAAGTTACGCTAATGGAGTCTTATTTATTGAGAACAAATGCATCATTTGAAAGTGCTCACCTTGGAGTTGCGGCTGGTTTCCAATATCTGCAGAAAAGATATTGTCCATCTGCATTGACCATATGAGGGAGGTCCTGATAAGGGATATTCTGAGGACTCCGTCTTGGGGAATTTTCCTCAGGCATCCTAGAAGACTGACCTATAAGGTGTTGGAAAAAACAGGACATACTTTAAAGAGGAGCAGGAAAGGTATTGGCAGAGGGGTTTACTAAGTACACACATTCAAGAAAGTCAACAAGGCAACTGACAGTGGTGGAAATGTTTCTCCCACCCCACCAAAGATCCACAAAACTGGGCTCAATCTCATCTGCTTCTTGCAACTGCTCTGAGACTGAAGACTCACATTTTTTTTTAGAGAAAATGTTCACATTATTAGAGAGGGGGAAGATAACAACCCAACCACACAGCTTCATTACTGCTTTTTTCCCCTTCTCCCATCTGTGTTTATTTTACATCGTCTTGGAAAACGGCTCTTAAAAAGAATATTTAGCTGCAATCAAGTGCAAATTGTAAAGCACCACTATGGATACAAGGAGACAGCTGCATAAAAGATTCATCTCTCTTAACATCTCCAAAGAACGGCGACGGGTGCGCAATAATGAGGTGCCTGGTGGCACTGTGTGGTTATGAGGCTCCTTTCTGACATCTGAAAAGGAAAACATATAGGAGGATTCGCAGCAAACCTGTTTTCATCCTGTGCAAGGGTTTGCATCCCAGAGAGACGCCCGCATTGCAAGTCAAATAGAAGCATATAGAGCCTTTTGCATATCGCCGCTAAGATACAGTAACACCCAGCCAAACATTCAGCACCCCCAGCCCCAGATCAATTCCTTTCCGTTGCAAAAAAAAAGGGCAACAGAGATCTCTTCCCCTTGCAAGCTTCTGTGCTGGCTGCGATCCGCTCCCCCAAGCTCCTCGTTGCAATCTCTCTTTAGGGAAACTCGCCCGTAATTCATCACTTCTTGTTCATTTCATCACTTTTCTTAAACAAATCGCATGTGTGGGCTGAGGTGGTGGTGGGAGGGGAGGTGATGGGGTCCACTTTCCAGAAGCTGCCGCACACACATCAAAGGCACCTTGAGCACAGGCAGCGGGGTGGCACCGGGAGACTGGTACGGAAAGTTACTGTTGCTGCAGGTTGCTTGCAAACTTTACTTCCTTCCTGTCACTTGCTGTGAAGGGGCATGGGGGGTGGGGGTGGGAGAAAGTGGGGCTCTCCACTCAGCTCCCTGCTGCAGTCATCGCGAGTGGGGGGAAAAAACACAACTTCCCCAGCTGCTTCTCTCTAGTAGCGAGACCGGGCAGAGGAAGAAGAACTCAGAGACATTTAATCTGCTCAGATGCCAAAGAGAGCCAAGGTTTCACAGGCAAAAAAAATAAAATAAAATCCCCCTGGGCTTCAAATGCATCAGGGAGCCCTGGTTTCCAATGCAACAGACACCCCTGGCTTCCAATGCACCAGGGTCCTTTGCACCCCCCAGCCCCGGGCTCCCGGCACGTGAAGGGCGAGGGAGCTGTTTCAAGGGACGTTACCCGTGGCTGAGAAGCGCGGCGTGTTCGCAGCTGCCCGGGGAGTCAATGGCCCCGGGAGCAGCTCGCTGGCTCCGCGCCGGCGCCCCGCTCCATTCACGCATCCGCGGCGGTTCCGCTGCCGAGTTAATCCTAGAGCCGAGCGGTGGTGCCGAGAAAACCCCGGCTGGCAGGGGCCCAGGAGGGCAGGCGCACTGGGGCCGGCTCCGAGAGGAGGGTGGAGCAGCAGCAGCCTGCCGGGCACGGCGAGGATCCTGGCTCAGGGCAGGTCGCTCTGCCCGGTGCACGTGTGGCCAGGCAGGGACCCGCAGCAGCCAGGCCCCAGGGTCCTAGGGGACCCAGACCCCGGTACTTAACTCGGGATCTCCCCGAGGGCGCAAGCAGCGCTCTGAGTCATGTCGCTGATCCAGACGGCAAGGCAGCCTGTGTCTCCTCCAGCCTGGCGTTCAGTCAATAATAAATTAATAATCACTAACCTCATTTCGAGGCGAGCCAGGGAAACCCCAGGAAAGAGGCAATCCCCACGCGCGGTGTATTGCTCACCTCCCTCGCCTCAGTACATGGGTGGCGTGCCCGAGCCCACTTATCCACTGACACTTTAAAAACCCTTGCACCCCAATCTGGGTCTATGCAGGTTATGCGATATGTATGTATCTTTCCATCCTTGCAAACCATACCTGTACCCCCCATAACCGAAGCCTGACCCCAGATGTAAAGTACCTTCCCTCTTAACTCGTGTATATTTCATTTTAAACATTCAACTGCCCCAGGAGCAAATCCAGTGGGAAGCTTTTCATCGCAATTAGCCAGGTCCTCCATTACTGCTAGCTGAGAATCAGGCTCCATAGCTAGACATGGGTGCTCTAATGCTAGAGCTATGCACTTGGTATGGATCTTGGGATGCATAAGGCGAGGTATTTCTAGTAGGGACAGGGAGGTGCTGCTTCCGTTATACAAGGCGCTGGTGAGACCTCACTTGGAGTACTGTGTGCAGTTCTGGTCTCCTATGTTTAAAAGGGATGAACTGAAACTGGAACGGGTACAGAGAAGGGCAACTAGGATGATCCGAGGAATGGAAAACCTTTCCTATGAAAGGAGACTCGAGGAGCTTGGTTTGTTTAGCCTAACCAAAAGAAGGCTGAGGGGGGATATGATTGCTCTCTTTAAATATATCAAAGGGATAAATACCAGGGAGGGGGAGGAATTATTTCAGCTCAGTGCTAATGTGGACACGAGAACGAATGGATATAAACTGGCCGTGGGGAAATTTAGGCTTGAAATTAGACGAAGGTTTCTAACCGTCAGAGGGGTGAAATTTTGGAACAGCCTTCCGAGGGAAACGGTGGGGGCGAAAGACCTCTCTGGCTTCAAGATTAGGCTAGATAAGTTTATGGAGGGAATGGTTTGATGGGATTACGGGATTCTAATCAATTAGGCAATAACGGCCATCGCTGGTCAAATGAGGGTCTGGCTAGAGAATCTTGCCTGTATGCTCGGGGTTCTGCTGATCGCCATATTTGGGGTCGGGAAGGAATTTTCCTCCAGGGTAGATTGGCAGTGGCCCTGGAGGTTTTTCGCCTTCCTCCGCAGCATAGGGCAGGGGTCGCAAGCTGGAAGATTCTCTGCGTCTTGAAGTCTTTAGATCATGATCTGGAGACTTCAACAGCAGAGCTAAGGGAAAGTGGGGGGGTCAGCTTTTGTGGCCTGCATCATGCAGGGGGTCAGACTAGATGACCATATTGGTCCCTTCTGACCTTAAAGTCTATGAGTCTATGAGTCTATGGACAGGCAGACAGACATTAGATGCACCGGAAACTTGAAAGATACACAATCTGAAGAGAAATGAGAGAATGAATCTAATACCCTTTTAAATTTCCCCAGCTTTGATCCCACCCCCGGGTTCTGGTTCTAGTCTGATCCCAAACTAGAAGCAGCCCAGTTTGTTGTGCTGGTTCAGATGTGCAGTTGTTCTTGTGAGATTTCTGCCATTTGGGGCTGAACGCTCTCAAAACATTTGGAGCCACTCAGTCCAAACCCAAAAGCCTGAATAGTGCCCGGAGTCCAGATCAGTATCCCAACACCACCTGGTTGGCTCCTCTGTAATTATAACCTCTTTATGGTATATAACAAATGCTTAGGAAAACAGTCAAAGCTAATTTCTCTTGAGTGAAAATCATCTCCCGGGTTTAAAGGCAAATGTACTGGTACTGAATTAAAGAGCTTGATCCTTCAGTTCTAATACTAGCAAAACTCCTTACTTAGCATTTATAGAGTACTTTGTGTATTGCCTACCTTAAGAGTGCAGACTCAGGCCTTTTATGCTTCATCGTTTAATCTTTAATTTCTGGAGGCCTATGGATGTCCAAGAGTCTCTTGGCATCTTAAGAAAAAGCAGCTATAAAAATATCTTTTAAAAACTAGGCAACATGCCCAAATAAATCCCACAGTGGGAACAAAGGCTGAGGAAAGGAAAGAAAAATATAATCAACTACTAATACAGCAATCTCTGAGCCAAAACATATACATATTAAAGAGGAAATCAAAAGCACATTTTTATCTTATTGTCATTTATATTAAACCCCTTAAAGGAGTTTGTTCATTACAAACTGCAAAGGCAAAATTATATAGTTCCAGAAACGCTAATATATGGAAATCCATCCATGGACGTTTATAATGAGCAGGATTCAGGACTCCAGGTGAGGCGGGGGCCTTCTCAGAGCCTGGAGAACAGTATGTTCAAATAGCATATGATTTCTTAGCTCAACTACTCTACAAGTGTTGCTGTGTGTTGTTAAGCAGCTGTTGCATTCCACTTCAGGGGTGGATGAACCAATCTTATGTATATAAACATTTTGTGATCTTTTGGGTCACAAGGTCCATTAAGTGTAAATTATTATTATATATACGGCTACCGTCTGATCAGTTGACATTTAGTTCAACAGCACTATGGGCCCAATCCTACCTTCTCTGCGTGCTCCCAAATTCCCACTACTTCACTGGGAACTCTGGGTGTGCAAGGAATGGAGGATCAGGCCCTCTGGGGGCATTTGGGGATAATTCTCTTTTGTAGACACACCTTCTGTCTTGTGATGTAACTGTAGAAATTAAAAGAAGCATCTGACTGTCTGTCTGATATTCCTCCTGACTTCTGAGTCCTAAATAAGAAAATTATTCCGGGGAAAATTGCATGGATTGGGACTGAGGGATCCACCTGTTTGAGATCAACACAACATGGAAGAGTCCAGCTCAGCAATTATTGCAGGCTAGTCTCCAGTGAGAAAACAAAGGGAGCTGTGAGAGTGCCGTGATTGCCAGATGGTCACATCGTTTGCTTTCTCTAGTCTAGAGAGTGAGGCATAATTTGGAAATATATTTTAAGCTCAATCAAATTCCTAATCAAAATAGAATTAGGCTCGTTTATATCTTTACAGTAACTTGATAACAGCTCGGATTTATGAGGTGCATCCAGAAAAGTTGTTTAGTGTAAGAAGGGCCAAACCCTGCTTGCTATCAGGAAGCAAGCAGTCCCATTGACCCCAGTTGTACATATGTGAGTACACAGAGATGGATTTGGCCTAAAATAGGGCAAATGACAGAAAAAGAATCCAGAACTGGAAAGAGAAAAACATCACATACAAATGAGGAATGGATAATGGAGGGGAGGGGATGGAAGATCTGAAAGACATTAGGAGGGAGAGAAGGATGATGGAGGAAGGGACGCATGGAGGGCAGGGAAAGTGACACTGGAGCAGAGACGGGCATAAGTTTCTCTTTGCTATTAGACTTCCAGTCACAGAATGACTTTTTAATGGATTATTTCCTGTTAGCATGCACAGGTAAAGAGATTTTATAAGATCCTTCTGTTCCAGTTGACTCTCACATCCTCGTTAATTGCAAAAGAGTAGTCTGATTTGAGAAGTGGATTTAACTGGAGATTTTGCTAAACCATTTGCAATTCTGCTGAATAGGATCATAAAACAGCCAGCTTCACTGATGATGATTGATGAAAATTGGATCTCGGGAAGCAGAATTAAAACATAACTAAGACATATCTGGATATGAAAGAATTAACTATAAAGATGAGATATGCCATAGGTTACAATACACAGAGAGCAGATGGAAAGAGCAGCAGAAAATGTACGCCAACAGAGCACATGGGGGAAAAAGAAGACGACGAAGAAAAATTAAAATGCAAGAGAAAAGCAAAGAAGACAAAGTAGCAAATGCAATCAATTTGCAATAATTGTTTTAGTTTTGCCACTCTCTTTGGCCAATTCTTTATTTCTCCCTATCCAGAGTTTAGTCACCAGGCTTTACTTCTTTTGTGCTTTCTACTTTAGCTTGACTACTGTTATTACAGGATAAGAAAGACATGTACAGAGAGAGGCAAGGGGGTTGGGATGAGCTGCTTTTCTTTGACCCTAAAATATTTATATTAACTCCTTGCCATATTCATTAAAAACATAGGCTTGGTGCCACGCAAACTGGGTTGAGAAAAAATAAATAAATTATAATCTCTCTGTTGATCAAATTCATGCTTAATGATGGCCTCAAAGACTATCTCTGCACTGGCCTGCTGTCCTTTGGGCCCATGCACCAATTCAAAGTCAGTTTGACTTTAGAAGGAGGGTTTAGAGCAAAGACCTGAGAACCAGAAAACCTATTTCCAGGCTCTTCCATTGACTTGCTGCCCGAGTTTCGGAAAGTCACTTTGTCTCTGTTTCTCTGTCTGTGTTCCAATGGCAATAATAATACTTAATCTTTAAAACACTTTAAGACCCTGGATATGAAAGCAAAGTAATCTCATTTTGTGAAAGAAAATGATTAGTGTTCATAAGAGTCCTACTTATTTGCAGCAGAGAAGAGATTCTTTTTGCCAACGGTCCGATCCTGCTCTCATTGAAGCCAGCAACAAAAGTCTAGCTTGGTCTACACTTAAAAATTAGATCAACCTAGCTATGTTGCTCAGAGCTGTGAAAAATTTTGCACTCTCAGCACTGTGGTTAAGTTGACCTCACCCCTGATGTAGATGCAGCAAGGTTGACGGAAGAATTCTTCTGTCAACCTAGCTGCTGCCTCTTGGAGAGTTAATTTAACTTGATCAATAGAAAAAACCCTTCTGTCGATGTCTACACTACAAGCACTACAGCGGCATTGCTGCTGGTATAGTGTTGTAATGTAGACATAGCCTCTCACTTCAAACAGGACTACTTATATGAGTAAGGTGAGCAGGATCTGGCCCTAAGTCTCCCTAAATACACATATTTAAAAAAAATCTTGTGTTTAAAAATACACAGTTTGAATATGTTTCAATCTTTTTCATTAATGTTTAAAAGGTGACCCCTCCTACTTAGTGTTCTAATTTGAGAGCTGGCTGTTTTAATGAAAGAAGCAAT